TCTTAATAAGGCTACATCCCATTTCATGTGGTATTCTCATGGAGGACAAGTTCCATAGTCCTTGACACGATACCCCACCTCTTCAGAGCCTCTTACAGATTTGCATCAGCTCAGAGGAAAGGAAAGTGAAGGATATTTTGTTGGGATTACAAAATATCCTTCTTTGTTGGGATTAATAAACTTTACTGCTTGTATTATTTCTCTTGTCTGAAGGAAAAACACATACCAGGAAAGCTTGTTGGGGCTTATGTTTCATTTCACTCTGAGTTATGCTCTTGTGAAGGTCAAAAGCTTAGCAAAACATTGTTACAGAAATGCTGTAATTAAGATTCATTTAGAGAAGGTCAAATAAAGAAAATGTGTCTAAGAAGATTACCAAGTTATGACTCAGCCTAACCATGTAAATCTTCTTTTTAAAAAGCTGATGTTTCAAAAGCTTCATTTAAAAATATCTCTACTGTTCTTCTTAGGAAAATCATACTGTGCATAATTAGAAAAATCTGATATTTGGGAGCCTTAGAAGTTTAGAGGCAGGATATTTATTGTACAAAATCATTAAAGGTTTTTATAAAGCGATTTGGAGTTTTGGGATGGATACACTTTACATATGAAAAAACTGGTTTTAAAACCAGTTTGGAATTAATTTACCTTCCTTGATAACTCTTCTCTCTAGAGCAGAGGCTCTCAAACTTGAGCATGAATTTGAATTGCCTGGAGGGCTTGCTAAACCTAAATTGCTCTCAGACATTCAGATTAGGAGGTCTGGGTTGCAATCTAAAATTGAAATTAACACCACTGGTTTGGATGACACTTGGAACACCACTGATTTGGCATATTCTAGATCATTGCAAACCTGGTTGCATATTAAAAATTACCTGGTGGAGCTTGGTCATATTTCATCAGTTGAATCAGAATGTCTCTGTAGGTGAAGCTTGTGTTTAGAATGTTCCAGAAGTTATGCAGGTTACTACTAATGTGTAGACAGAGTTGACAGTCTTTGCTCTGGTGAAACTTAGTTAATGTGGCTGTCTTCAAAAATCATGTCAGCAGCAGGGGCCTAGAAACAGCCAACACTAGCTAGTGCTCAAATGTGCTTTGTGGGATATACACTGTGACCACCTGGGTCCTGGTTGAGCGCAGATGTCTGTGCCCACTGTCACCAGCCCACTCTGCAGCATGGCATCCGCCCAGGTCAGTGAGGAGCAGATTCTTGAGGGAGTTTGGAGGCTGTGCTATCAGCAAGATTGCACAAGACACTCAGGGAGTTTTCTGTTGCCTGATAACAAGCAGGGCAGCCTGAGGATGGGCTGGTTCACATTGTGTTCTGCCCCATGATAGCGAGCTGGCCCACATCAGCAGACAATGAGTCACTTCAGAGCTTTGAAAGAAAAACAGGAGATAAGTATTTATTGCTTTCTCCATCATTTTCTCATTCATGCTCCAGAAGCCACCAGTTCAAGGATAACAGAAGGAACGCTGTGCATACAGCTGAGCAAACAGGAGCATAAGGAAGCTGGGAATTCTAAAGTCAAGGATGAGCGGGCCTCTGATTTGAACTTCGCACTGTTTGATACCAAAGAAGAGACCCTTTGGTACTCCAGAAACCATGTTGTTGTATAGAATCAGCTATAGAATGTGTGAGGCTTTGTGTAAAAAGAACATGAGAGGCTTCTGGCTTAGAAACTGTTAAGAATTCAAGATGGCAGCAGCAGACCATTAAGCCAAGCCTGGGACCCTGCACACAGGTGGTACACCCAGGAATCAGGCTGGACGTCAGGTGTTAGCACTACCAGGCCTTCTGATTAAATAAGAAAGTTTGTTCAGGACTCGCAATGGGGTGGTAAGAGCCCCAGAATGGAAGCCTGGGGATACCGGATTCTAGTAGAGGCTCTTTCACTAACTTTCTGTTGAATGTGAACACACTATCCGGCTTCTTAGAGTTTGGCTAACCCCTCTGTAAAATCAGGGGCGTGCCAGTGTGGAAGTGGTGACTCCCTCAGTTTTGTATAGGCCATGTGTTGAGTACGGTGACTCTCATGAGGGACTCTAAGGTAAGAAACTCTGGAGACTGTAGTGCTAGGGATTGAACCCAGGTCTTTGGACATGCTAGGCAAGCACTCTGACACTGAGCCACAGCTTGGCCCTGATGAAGGACTGCACTCACTCATCCTGAATTCTAACCTCGGCTCTTCTATCTTCTGCCTATGTGGTCTCAAGCGAGTGCCTCCGTTTCTTCGTCTACATGATGGAGATTATTATGAAGACTTAAAAAGTTCATAAATGAAATAAGTAAATCCACGGTAATAACATCTGTGTTAATTACATCTATGAACCAGAGAGCACAGATGTAAGAACCAATGTTTTCTTCTTTGCTATGTTTTACTTTTTTAAAAAAATATTTTATTTTTTTATGTTTTTTAATGTGTATGAGTGTATTGCCTGCATGTTTGTGAGTGCACCTGTGTCGTGCAATGCCATGGAGGTCAGAAGAGGGCTTTGGATTCCCCTGGAACTGGAGTTAAGGATGGTTCGTAGCTACCATGTGGGTGCTGGGAATTGAACCCGGGTCCTCTGCAAGAGCAGTCAGTGCTCTCAACCACTGAGCCATCTCTCCAGCCCCTGCTATGTTTTACTTTTTTTAAAAAAAAATTTATTTTTATTTTATGTATATGAGTGTACTGCCTGCATGTGTGTAAGTGCACCCATGTCATACAATGTCCATGGAGGTCAGAAAAGCATGTCAGATTCCCTGGAACTGGAGTTACAGATGGTTGTTAGCTTTCATGTGGGTGCTGGGAATTGAACCTGGGTCCTCTAGAGGAACACCAAGTGTCCTTAACTGTGGAGGCATCTCTCTAGGCCCCAGCTATGTTTTACTTTTCAAACTAAGAAAAAAAATCATCTAGAGTATTTTACTAAGCAAAAGCATTTGTGAAATCACATGTATGCTGTTTTTCTTTTTTCAGTTTGTTTAGTATTTTTATTTTATATGTATGAATGTATTGCCTTCATGTATGTGCATGTACTCGTGTTGTGCAATGCAGCGAAGGTTAGAAAAGGGTATCAGATTCCCCTGGAACTGGAGTTAAGGATGGTTTGTAGCCACCATGTGGGTGCTGGGAATCGAATCTGAGTCATCTGCAAGAGCGGTCAGTGCTTTTAACGGCTGAGCCATCTCTCCAGACCCGTATGCAGTTTTTCTAAGGTGAAAATGTAGAGCTATAAAACACTCTAGGAAGTTCAGGTGAACCAGCTGCAATATTACCAACAGGATGGGCACCAGGCGGTGGCTGCACTACATGGGATACCAAAGCCCTTCTAGCTTTGACAATGTGTGAGTGAAGCTGTCCAGGCCATTGATGCCTACGCTTTCCTTTACTTGACAGATAACACAACTGAAATCTTTCTATCTACTCAGCCACACCTGTCCATAGCAGAGTCTTCCCATTGATTAGCTTTAGTGGAAAAATGTTTCAAAAGAGAGACTGTCAATGAATCTATGGAAAAAAATCTTGATGATTGGGGGTGGGGGCACCGCTCAAGAAATCTCTCTAAAGCTTAACAAAGGATGAAATTCAGAGCAGTGAAAGGTTGGAACAAAAAGCTTCCAGGAAGGCCCAGCGTGGCCTGCTGAGGTTGGTAATCTGCCGGGAGCTGCCTGAGCTTCTTTTGGTTCTTCCCCCCATGCCTGTCTCATTAAATCTTCCTTTCAGGCCCCACCCACAGTCTATTTCCTCAAAGTGCTTTCTGGACATTCTCACTTAAAATTTCTTTTCTTTTTTTTTGGAAAGTACTTTATAATCATTTAATGAGCATTACTTGAACATGTCCCGCAGACACTCTGTTCTGGGTACGTATTGGATACCTATATCCTTGGCTTCTAGTAGTGGATAGGCTGCTAATCAACCTGAGGGTCTGTCACCTTGTCCTGGTCAGTTGATCTGTAGCTATTTGTCTTGCTTCTGCTTTAGGCAGGGGCTGCTTAATCCGCCACTTTCCTGTTCTGTAGGACCTTCCTTAGCTAAGCATTTGTTATCAGAGACCCCAGGGCTACCAAGCTGAATAAGGGACTTAAAAGCAGCAACAAACGAACCTTAACATTTGCTTAGATGTCTCTCTCAAGTTACAAGTTATCACTGCATCCATTCTCAGTTGCCTCATAAACACCAGTGACTGTCAGAGATAATCAAAATATGCACATGCGATCTAAATGGATCATGATGTCAAATTAGAAATCTCAGGAAAGGTGTGGGACTTCTTGAGGCCAGTGAAGGTGAGTTTTGAGGACAACTTGAGTTCCCACCAAATGATGTGAATCACTGAGGCTCTAAAAGAGATCAGTCATCAACCAGAGAAGATCAACAAGGGTGAAGGCATGATGGACACCTGCCAGAAGCATTTCAAAGGGTGAGACGAGGACCTTGGAAAAAGCGAAGTCTTTGAATACTCACAAACATCAGTATGACTTGAGAGATGTTCAATGGTGCCATGATAGACCCATGTCAGAAAAACAATGCTCAGAATCCATACTTGATAAAAAAATTATCATGATTTCCTTTTAATTTAATTTTGTCAAATTTAAGACAAATGAATTTCTTCATATTTTCCCACAATTTTTAGTTTCTAAGACAGAATTTCAACCCCTCTATCTTACTCTGATATTTTTATGCCTTTAAAAAATGTGGAGTATGCCTTTTAAAAATTCATTTTAAACAACCTTTTTCCAGTATTAATTATCCTTATAGAAGAAGAACTTCCAGTAACTGGATATTTAATGAAGTGATGGATTGGCAAGCATCATTCTTCCTGGACTAATGGCGGAGGGCATAACAGGCAGGGCAGTGGTAACTAGCTTCATTGACTAATGTGGAAAGCATGGGTCCATAGAACCTGGTAGATTTCTCTAATAGAGGTTCTTGTCCAGTTAGGGGGTATTTTTGGGATAAGCCTGTCCGAGACCTTAAAAGGCAACACCCAAGGCTCCAGAGGAAGTTGCTTACCCACAAAGCACCAGACCGCAAACCGGATCCATGTGATGGTGGAGAGCTTTAGCATGAGATAAATGTTCACCAGCATGGCAAAGGCAGGCACAAAGGGGAGGCAGGGGGCCATGTAGGGCAGCTTCTTGGGGTTCTCTGGCTGCTGCAGGATCACAAACACCAGCGCGCTGATCAGCAGCACCATCAGAACAACCAGAAGGATGGCCCACCAGCTCTGCCCCGAGATGTAGTCGGAGCCAAAGATGATGAAGGAGCAGAAGATGAACATGAGGATGAAGAGCAGGAGCACGCAGATGGTCACCGTGTGCCCTGTTGCTGCCGTGGGCCGGTCCATTTTGCCCGGAAGACCCAGCCGGATTCTCATGGTGTAGTAACGGGGTCCAATCAGCTTCTTCAACTTGATGAGATAGATGTTTTCTGATTCATCAGCTTCTATGCCTGTGGTCATGTCCACAGTGCCGTAGTTGGGGTGGTTGACGTTGTAGGTGGACTTATCTGATTTCCCTATGAGCATCTCATTGTCCCCCAAGGATGGCAGGTTCTTAGCCCCACAGGTGTTGGTGGCGGGGCCAGAAAACTCCTCCCCCTCGCTCACAGGAGAACAAGCTTCCTTCTCACAGTCAGCCAGGATGCCTTCCTTCTTCTTGGTGTGCTCCTCAGACAAGAACTTGACAAAACCGTCGATGTCACTCTCGGGTTGGTACCGAAGGAGTAAGACACAGACAGAGACCAAGGTGTAGGCGAGGAGTGTGCCGATGGACATCATTTCTATCAGGTCCCGCAGGCTGACCAGCAGCGAGAGAAGAGCTGCCAGGAACCCCGACACAATGCAGGCCACCACTGGCGTCTCTGTGTAGGAACTCACATGAGCCAGGAACCTGGAGGGGAGGTGTGAGCAGAAGGAAGGTCAACAGCCAGACTACAGACGGTGACTGATTCTAACATGTCAACATGTTAAAAATGCTGTGCCCAGCACTCGGGAGGCAGAGGCAGGCGGATCTCTGTGAGTTCGAGGCCAGCCTGGTCTAGGTCAGCTGGGGCTACAGGGAGACCTTGTCTCAAAAAGACAAAAAAAAAAAAACAAAAACAAAAACAAAACCCAAAAACCAACCAAACAAAAAAAGCTGTTGTTAGCTATGCCTGGTCCTGTTCTTCTGATAACTTTCTGTACATTGCTTTAACTCTCTGCCATTCCTTCTCCCAAGGTTTGGCTCCTGGGATACCAATGAGAGAGAATTCACTTTAATTCCTTGATTTTGAGCCCAGACTCTTTACTAGAGTTCCCACTCATTATGGGATGGAAAGGGTTGATTGAATCCAGGAGGTCTGTCAGAGATCTACACAGAGGCTCAGGTGTCACTGTGAAGAAGGGGTGATAAGAGGAAGTTAGGCATCTGCTGGGAGTGTGTGTTTCTAAACCTGTGGATCTGCAGCCTTATCATCATCAGCAGCTTGCTGGGAAGATATATTCTCAGGTTTCACCCAAGCCCTTCTACAGCAGAATCTTTCGAGTTGATGCCTAGTTGGCTGTGCTTTAAAAGTCCTCCTAACATTCCAAGAGGCTGAGACACCCTGCCCTGCAACAGAAAGAAGCACAGGGATCTGTTGGTAAAATAGCACAACAGTTAAGAAGCTCTTGGACAGAGGTTCAAGTTCAAGCTCAAGTCTAGTGGGTTGCTAACTGAAGATGAGAACAACTAAATATTGATACTGTCAAAACTCTGAGTGTCAGAGCCAGATAGTTCTGGTTTCAAATCCTGGCCCGCCATTCAGGTGATTGAAAGACAGGCCTTTTTTTGCAGCAGGTCCTGTGGGTCTGAAGGAGGCTCCCTGCCCTCTGGCCTCTCTGGCTCTGCTTCCCCTTTTCTCTTACATCTCTCTCTTCTGAGTCACACAAGGCTGGACATGTGCTTGGATCACAGCACCTTTCTCTTAGCTTTTTTTTTTTAATGGAAGGAAAATCTTTTGAATGTGTGAAGATGACAAGCCTTCATCACCTTAGCTCCTTCTTGATCTCATCAGTAACCCAAACACAGCAGCTCTGACCTGGTGTAGACTTGGGATGAGCAGAGGAAATGGAGCGGAAAGACAGCTAGTGGCAGTGATAAAGTCCCTGAACTCCTCTGAGACCCCTGGGGACTCACTGGTCTCCTGTAGTGGGCACTGGGAACTAAGAGGAAGGGCTACATTCTTTTAGGTCAGCCGAAGCCAGGCCACTCCATGGTGGCCATGGGGGTGAGACAGAGCTATCAAAATATTGGTTCTGTCAAAAGTCTGAGCCAGATACTTCTGGTTTCAAACCCTGGGCAGATGATGAAGGATTTGGGACAAGACTTTTTTTTTCATTTCTTTAATTTCTGGTTGATTCATCTGCAAAACAGTTATTGTGTGAAATAAATGATTTATAGTATAGAAAGCACCCAGGATATGCATCTGTTCAACAATTGTTCAATACATGGTATTTACTGTTACATTACTAGGTTCTCTTCAGAGGATTTTATCTCCTCTCTTATTGCTGACTTTTTTTTCAACTTCAGAGGAGTTTTGGAGAGAGGAGCAAGAACCAGGCCTCAATGTGAGACAGACTTTCTCCCTCCTGGAATTTCCCTCATCGCCTGTGCAGCAATTTGGCACCTGCCACCTTCACAAGGGAAATACGTGTCAAAGGAAGAAGAGGGACAATTGGAGGGACATATCAGTCGGTGCCGGACCGAGGGAGCCACAGTCAACCGAGGACTTGTTTCTGTGTCTGACTTCTTTTCACCTGCACTTCAATAAAGTTCTTGGTCTGTGCAAAAGACAGTCATCAAAATTACTGTCACAGTGCCAGAGGGCAACCCCCTCCTGCACAGGTACAACGCAGTGGACTCAATTACATGGAGCACAGCCCTTACCTGAAAAGGAGCCCATCACCAGCCATGGCATAAATGACCCTGGGCATTGGGAAGAGGGAGCCCAGCAAGCTGACTGTCAGTCCTGCGACCGACCCAATGGCCACTACAAACTTTGCAGCATAGAAGCCGTGGGCCACAAACATCTCCATGAGGGGGGACTCCGTGTCAATGGCGTAATACGGCACCATCAGGGTTAAGATCATGCTCACCTGTTAAAATAAAGGAAGACAGGCTGGAGGCGGAGGGGACTGACAGCATGGACGGGTGACCCCAGCATGGACAGGTGACCCCAAGAGGATGTGAATATTCCAACCTGGAGACAGAGCCTTTCATGGCAGTTTGGATTTTGTTTTCAACCATCTGGCCTCCATGTTTTTCTCCTCACTTGTGATGTCATTGAATAAGACCAGATAATCCCCAAAGTCTCTCTGTGGCCTTTTCATATCTGAGGATAAGCTTGCAGGTATTTCAGCCACTCTGAGACATTACCAAATGGAAGGAGCATATGTCCTGCCCTAAGGACAAGGCTCCTCTCCCCTCCTCCTCCTCCTCCTCCTCTTCTTCCTCCTCCTCCTCCTCCTTCTTCTCCTCTACCTCCTCTCCACTCGGCTCGCCGGGGCGCAGGTCAGTTTCTGAAATGCGGCGCTTGACGATGGCCTCTTCCCCAATTCGCACAGTGGTGTGTGTGTGTGTGTGTGTGTGTGTGTGTGTTTGTGTGTGTATGCCACAGGTTGGGTATGGAGGTGAGAGAACAACTTGAAGGAACTGGTTCTCTCCTTTCACCATGTGAGTTCCGGGAACCAAACTCAGATTGTAATCTGTGTGTGTGCATGTGTGTGTGCGTGTGCTGCTGAGGCCTACTGCCGGGGGGGGTGGTGGCGGTGGGATGGTTGAGGTGGAGGAGTGAAAGGACAGGCAGAGAGGCCCTGCTGCTCCTCCTGCCCTGCTGCCTTTCCCACGATGCAGGAATAATCAGAATATGGACAGCATGAAGCCACTTGACTGTGTGCGCATGGAGGGAGGTGATGACAGTGTGAATGGAGGGAGGTGATAACTGTGTGCACGGGGTGGGGGGGAGGTGATGACTGTGTGTGCATGGAGGGAGGTGATGACTGTGTGAATGGAGGGAGGTGATGACCGTGTGAATGGAGGGAGGTGATGACTGTGTGTGCATGGAGGGAGGTGATGACTGTGTGAATGGAGGGAGGTGATAACTGTGTGCACGGGGTGGGGGGGAGGTGATGACTGTGTGTGCATGGAGGGAGGTGATGACTGTGTGAATGGGGGGAGGTGATGACTGTGTGAATGGGGGGATTTGATGACTGTGTGAAGGGGGGAGATGATGACTGTGTGAATGGGGGGAGGTGATGACTGTGTGTGCATGGAGGGAGGTGATGACTGTGTGAATGGAGGGAGGTGATGACTGTGTGAATGGAGGGAGGTGATAACTGTGTGCACGGGGTGGCGGGGAGGTGATGTCTGTGTGCATGGAGGGAGGTGATGACTGTGTGAATGGGGGGAGATGATGACTGTGTGAATGGATGGAGGTGATGACTGTGTGTGCATGGAGGGAGGTGATGACTGTGTGAATGGGGGGAGGTGATGACTGTGTGAATGGAGGGAGGTGATGACTGTGTGTGCATGGAGGGAGGTGATGACTGTGTGAATGGGGGGAGGTGATGACTGTGTGAATGGGGGGAGATGATGACTGTGTGAATGAAGGGAGGTGATGACTGTGTGTGCATGGAGGGAGGTGATGATTGGCACACTCATAAATTGTTTGGGTAAGCCATTGACAATCTGTCAGCAGACAATCTTGTTTCGCGGCTTGCCTTAACCATCATTTGTTCTGGCTTCCCTAGGTAGTGGCTAAAGATGCTTTGGGGGAAATAAGGGATGGTAGGTCTGACAGGCTACACCCAGCTCCTGACTCTTCACTGTCATTACTTTTAGCTTGTTAGACATATACATTTCTTCAGACTTTTATATCAGAATCTTTGGGGGTGGTGCTCTGCAAGCTATACTTTAAAAGCAACCCCCAGCTGCTGGCTTTTTTATGATTGTGGTGACCTAAGGAGAAAAGGGCTCTCAGGACCCAGGAGTGTTTGTGTGACTATACACCTGGTGGCTGGCCAGCTGGTCCAAGGAGCTAAGAAGATGTTGGTCAAGGATGAATAATGTCTGCAATAGAAATTTTGACTTGGGAACTGACAGATAAGTCAGAAATATATGGGCGCATCTTGGGGGATCCAGAGGAGACCAGACTAGAGGACTTATTCTGAAGGAGTCTTTTGACAGGGAAACCCCAAGGGTGAGTTTGAGATGGTGTGAAAAGACTGAACTGAAAGGAATTGCTCCCTGCCCCTGCCAGATTCCAGGGGAAGAGCCTCTCCCAAGGACAATGTGTTCTCTCTCCCCACTCTGTGGGAGCCTTGCCTCTTCACTGCCGGGAAGCTCCCAGACAGAAGAGCATTGAGGGCTGTGCACAGAGAGACCACAATGCCTCTGCTTGCACGCCACCCGTTACTGCCAGCCTATGACCTGAGCTGCTCGGATAGCAGCCCACTGTCCCTAGGCAGAGGGAGGGCTGGGGATGGAGACTCAGGAGGCCAAGGCTGAGGTGAGGGCCCAGGGCTTCTCCTGCTTCCCAGTTTGGGTTCTTGAGTTTCTTCCTGTCATCGATAGGTGGAGCTATAGGGGACACAAGGCAGAGTCCTGCAAGCATGAAGAAGGTGTCAGGAAAAGGGAACTTCCTGACAGAAGAGCTGAAACTGCCCAAGAACTACATTTTTTGGAGGGGGAGAGAAGGGAGGGAGGGAGAGACTGCATGTGTACACTGTGTAGAGGTCACAGGCCAGCCTTAGGTGCTGTACCTACCCTTTTTATGAAGACAGAGTCTTTCACTGGCCTGGTACTTACCAAGTAGGCGAGGCTGACTGGCCAGTGAGTCCCAGGGACCCTCCTGTTTTTGCCTAGCCAGTACTAGGATTGCAACTACAGCCCTCCTGCCTGGGCTTTGTTTTTCATATGGGTTCTTGGGCTTGATCTCAGTTCATTATGCTTGTACAACAAGAATGAACCACCTTCCTGGCTCGATGGCCACATTTCACAGTGAAATATAAAAAGGCTATGAAGAGGGTCCCATAGGCATTGGTACTTACAGACACATACGCTGTCAGGCAGATGACCAGGGAGGCGGTGATAGCGTAAGGGATGGACGTATTGGGGTTCTTGGCTTCCTCTCCAGTGGTGGCAATGATGTCAAAGCCAATGAAAGCATAGAAGCACGTGGCTGCTCCTTGCAGCACCTGTAGAGACGATGGCATCTGTCAGGCTCTGAAGGTCAGGTAGATCCATGGCTTAAATGTGGTACCCACAGCTGTAGGCATTGAATGGTACAGAGGCACAATGGCAGAACTAATGGAAAACATCCCAGTTCCAATCCACTTTTCTATCTTGCTGTGTGAGTCTGGGCAGTTTCCTCGTGTGCTAAATACAGGTAGGGATTCTTATGGCCAAATACAAATTGGGTTATTCAACACATTCAAACCCTTTTTTGAAAATAAGTAAATCAATGTGTTGGCTATCTCTGCATTTTGGAGACTGAAGTTTGGGCCTCACGCATGCTAGTCAAGCGTTCTGTCTCTGAGCTACATCCTCCAGCTGTGCTATCTTTATATTTTGTGTTTTGTTTTCACCTGGTAGTTTTCAGCCACAATGACAGGCCATATGGATCCCCTTAAGGGATATTTTGAAATGTGGGGAGATAGTTTTGATCACTATGGAGACATAGGATGAAAGCTGCTGGCATTAGTGGAGGGGATGCAGACACTGCATGAAGAAATGTCTTGCCCAGATTCATTCATGTCTATGGACCTTACTGGATGATCTCTGTGATAACTTTCAAATCTGAGGTCAGGTAAGCCTTAGACATTATGTTGCCTCTAAAGGGAAGATAGAGTTTGATTTTCTGCTCTTTAGGGGTGGGGGTTGGATGTGAAGCAGGAAGCTAGCAACTTTTGTTGATGTCTATCTGCAGGATTTGAAGTGACTCTAGGGGTAGTTGGGTCTTTAGTCAAGATGTCATTAAAACCCTTCCACTGGGGAGTGTGTGATCATTGTTTAGAGAATCTATTGAAGCTTTCTTGCCATGGCATTCCCATTATTAACTGAAAGTGGAGATGTGCCTCATCGAATGCTTGGGATGCTCTTGTGAGCGTGATGGACTTTGTGTGTAGTAGAGGAAGTCACAGACTACAAGGTCTGAAGGGGGTCCAGGAGGTTAAGACCTGTGTAGAGTGGAATATCTATTCCCCCTTCCTCCTCCACATGTGGCTTATAAAGGATAAACACTTGTCTGAAGTTTTTGCTTTTAACCTTCCTTACTCATTTCTTCATAAATACAAGCCAAAATGCTAGTACTAGAACCTACAAGGTACACCACAAAATCAAAGATCTTAAACATTCAAAAGCAGCCTTGCCCATCTGTAAAATAAGGTGGTTTCTTCTATAGACTCACCACCTGGGATTGTAATACTCTAGTCTCCTAATCTAGGGGTTCTGGTTGTGGGTCAGTATATTCTGGGGAATCTGCGATTTTGCTGGAAAGAATTATCTTTTTTATTTTCACTAGCCTTTTTTATTTTAGCATTTCTTACGATTATAATGTATGGTGACACTGTCAACAATAAAATCAGATATTTTCATATCATGAGAGTTGTTGGAGATCTTGAAATAACTCATGCTAATGCAAATTATAGAGATCTTGGATATGTATACCAGTGAGGAAGCATACAGCTATTACAGCACAATGTGAGGATGCATTACTGAATTTCAATAGAATTGGTTTAGAACGTCTGCGTCATTAGGTTCTTCATCATCTTCACAGGGGTCTATAGTACAAAAAATTAAGATTTCCTGCTCTACTCTGATAAGTCATGTGGACATGGGCAGCTCCATCTTCTGAAGGTTACTTTCTGGGAAAGAAGAAACCTATTTTCCCTCCAGTAAAGTCCTTCACTTCAGGGTCTGGAAAGTGTCTTTGGCTGCCAGACAAAGAAAGAAAACAGATTTCACCACATCATACAAGGAGGTTCACAGTCTTGGAAATCTGCTTGTTTTCAGTTGTCTGGAAAGTATTACCGATTTTCAAGGATGAACACATGCTGGGATGGCAGGCCTGCAAAGCTGTCTCAATGAAAATAAAGCCTTGTGGTAAAGTAGCTCTTATTTTCTCTTCTAACATATTTCTTCTACACACACATGCACATACAAACACAAATCATACATGCACACATATATACATGCAACACATACCCCTCTTATAAATTATACAGTGACCTGGCACAACCTGGCAGACGGCAACAAATCTACCTTAGAAAAAGGTGAGAGGTGTGGGGGCCACACCATATAAGGTAACAGGGGCCTGGAGATATCTGACCTGAAGATCAGATGTCTCAGTGGAAATCATGAGGATACTTCCCAGTAGCAGAAGGCTCAACCGTATCATGGCTGGAGAATAAAGAGCACCATAGGCTCTAAAGGGAATCTCAGAGCCATGCATGCGGGTGTGATTAAGTCTGCCAGGGTATAGACTTTAGACTGACAGATCTCAGTTGGTTCTGTTATATACTAGCTAGATGACCTAGGTTAAGTTCCTAACCTGTTGGAGACCATGTTTCTTTACCACTAACTGGAGATATTAATAACAATGAGCTCACAGGACTGTTACAAAGGTTAAATGGAATAAACTAGAATCAGAGAATATGGTATGTGGTCAATAAATATCAGCTTTTATTATCAGTATTATTATTACCATTGTGAATTTTTCTACAGCAGATGAAATCCAAGGGCACAAACTCCTCCATTTGGAATGTGACACATTATTAAGTCCTACCATGTGCCAAATTCTGTGATTGACAATGAGGACATGGTTTTGAGCAAATAATACTCTGAGCTTGACCTTGGGGGTCTTGGAATCCCAAGGATACTGCAAGACCACAAATATAACTTGGACTGTGGTAATAAACTGAGTAAGATTTAATAGTATTTATATTATTTATAAAACATAAATATTCTATTTTCCAAATGGATAAAAGAATAGATGTCAGCTATTGATAAAGATTAGATATCAGGAAATCAACTATGATCAAGATGGGAAGAGGGAAAGTAAGTTTGTAAAGAGGATGTAGATTAATCTGAATGAATATATGTAGAATTAGAAAGCAATGATAATTGAAGAAAGACCAGAGAGGTTGAAGATGAGGCATTTGAGGGTCCTTCTGCATTAAGCACTCAACAGAATTCAACTCAGATGATTCAGAAAAGATGAGAGCAAAGAAGGGACTAGGGGCAGGCACAAACCAGTGCACAGGCAGTGCTAAGGCAGCCAGGTAGGGTGCTGAGATAAGCAATGCTGTCCTCAAGCGAGGGGCCCAGGGCAGAATGGCATTCTAGGCGCTGAGTTAGAACTAAAGTAGTGCTGGCCAGAAGAAGCATGCAACAGTGTGGGCCAGGACTGGGTAGGAGAGAGGAGGAAATACGTGGCCTTCTCTCTTTTCATCTTCTGATGATCTGATAATAGCTACAATTGGCTAAACCCCATGGGCAGCATCAGGGAGGGATCCTTCTGGAGCACAGGACAGTCATGAAGAGTGGAGGTGGACCTGGGTGATGGAGGGAAATGGAGCAGGACCAGAAAACCTGCCCAAGTCAAACAGACTTTGCTCTAAGAAGACGAATAAAATAAAACTGGTGAAAATTCGATTATTTGGTTGTTAGGTTTTGTTTTGTTTTGTTTTGAGATCGGTTTTCCCTGTGTGATCGAGACTGCCCCTGAAATTGTGATCCACTTCCCTCTGTCTCTGGACTGCTGGGATTATAAACATGCACCATTATGTTCAGCTACTTGAGTTAGAGTAGTTTTTGCAAGCGAATGGTAAGTGTAACCGAGCCAGGAGACAAAACTGTGAGATGTGTTTCCACCCAAGTGGTCAGTACAGCTGTTTTCTACCTGATCTCTCCTGATCTTGGCCAGTGCATTTCTGGTTGGACTACCTAGACATACATGAAAAAGCATGTGAGACAAACCTAGTGTGGCTGCTCAGCTAGGTGGTTCAGAATGGACTCAGTCCCCCAAGAGTGTTGCAGAGAAGCAGCGGGTGTCTCTGTCCCTAGATGATTGCTGCTTACTTAATTGTCAAAAACACCATCGTGAGAAGCCTACTGCTCAGTGTGCGGGGTCCCTAAAACCTGGCTCCCTGGGCTCTAATGATATTTGAGAGGCATTAGGATGAGAAGGCCTCTCGTATTGTCTTGAACAGCTGTCAGATGATAGGAAATAATTAGGTACCTAGACCTAATTTATTCCTAGGATGACAAGACGAATCTCAATGTTAATAGCATTTTCAACGACCCTCATGCCCCAGCTCTATGGACAGCCTGTTCACAGTGACAGTGGGATGTTAATAGGTTCCAACGAATGGATTCAGATGTGGAGACCATAAAAAACAGCATTTCCTTCATTTAGCAGCCTTCAGAATTCCTCACACATTCTTACTATGGACTATTTTCCTGGGAGCTATTTGTGCTGGTAAAATAATCTTATTTGGTTAAAGAAAAACCATAAGATAGCATCAAGAACAAAAAACATAAAGGGTACACACATCCAACAATGTTCAGGGGCTGAGGGATTGCAGATGGAAGCTGGGGTTCAGCTGAGGGCCAGAGTCACTTGATATAGGGGAAAATGTTGTTGTTCTTCAGCTCTGCAAGACCAAAGAAACATTTGACCCAGAACCTTTAAGTGAGTAAACCATTCCTTAAGCTATTTTCTTTGGAAGGATGTGATTGGAACAGGGGATGAATGAGTTTGTGAGGGCTCTGTTGCCAGAGGTTGGGTTGTTCATTAACCCTTTCACGGGACTTGGGAGTTGTGTTTAGATAATGTAATGGTATCCTTATGTTGTCTTACCTAGTTCCTTCATTCTCTCCCACCCAGAGCACTGCACACCCAAAGGACTGCAGCTCTGCACTATTCCCTAGTCAGCAGTAGGGGTCAGAGTTTCCCTAAGGAGATGGAAGGTCATGCCGGTAGCAAGTGAGGAATATACTTTTGTTGACATTTGTTAGGTAAGAGTAGGGAATATGTTTATCAGTGTGGTGGGTGATTGAATCACGAGAGGGTTTCAGGCCTTTGAAAAATGTGATTAAAATTTATAGTAGTCTTGCTAGATTAGAAAAGTGATCTGAAACCAAAGTTGACAGAACAAGGCCAGGCCAGTTCATAGGGAGGAAATGTGCTATGCAGAAATCCAAGAGCAAAGAGGATGAGTCAGCAGTCTCTCACACCAGCTGTCCTTTGTATTCAGAGGACACTTTTAGTCACCACCAAGAGGACATACATTTGTTTCCTTCAGGGATAATAGATTTGCACTGAAAACCCCAAATCCCAACTGAGCTTTTTGGTGGTCAATGAGTCTACTCAAGCTAGTAGGTGGTTGTAGTGAGATCAGTGGTCAGAGGTAAAGAAAAAAATGACAGCTGGTCTCAGGAGTCCAAACCCAGGCATGGTGGAGTCAATACAGGCTCTGGTTTTCCCAGCACCGAAGTTCAGTTTCATCTCTATTACTAGAACTGGGAACGTAAATAATTTAAACTGCAGTTCTTTTGATGTAAAGTGGAGATCATTGTTATCTTGCAGGGCTCTTGTGCAGATGAAATGAAACAGGCATGTGAAAGGTTGTCACAAAGAAAATGTTAATGCTAGGAAAAACATCCCTCCTTTCTTTTCTATGCCTAAATTTCTATCTTCCTACAAAAAAAGTGAGAAACAGGAATGCATTAGTAGAGGCCTCTGAGGCTAGCTTCATGATGTCTTCCTTGATGAGGTGGCCTCCTGATTGTGGGATGTAGAGCTCCTGAAAAGAGAAGAGGAGACCCCCGAAGAGAATAAAGTCCCTAGAGCAAAGCACTCAAGGAAAGAAAGAAAAGGTTAAAGGACTTGTCCGCTCTCTTCACAAAGAGGAAAGAACAGTTATACGTACTTGTCCTAGTCCTTAGGAGGGAAAACAGCCTAAGCTACAGTGTGTACACAGCCAGTCAGCTTGGCTCAGCTTGGCTGTACACCTGAAGAAGAGGGAACAACTGACTACCTCTTCCTGGTCCTCTCGTCTCTAACATTCTAAGTCTTCGTGAAAGTGTAAAGAAAATGCATCAGATTACTTACATTATTATTGTGGCTATTTTATGTGTATGTGGTGTGTGTTCCTGTATGTATGTGCGTGGGCACACAGGTGCGGAGGTGTGCATGCAGAGGACTCTGATGTTGGCGTTGTGAGTCCTCTTCAGTCCTCTCCACCTGATTCATTGACGTAGGGTCTCTCATTCACCTGTGGATCTTGCCACTAGTTTACTTAGCAAGCTTGCTCCAGGATCCTGTCTCTGCCTTCGCAGCTTGGGAATTACAGGTGGGTTACCATGCCTACTCATGTGGGTCCTGGGGAGTTGAACTCTGGTCCTCATGCTTGCTGTTTGTGCAGCAAGTGCTTTAACTGCTGAGCCATCTCCCCGGTCCCCAGCATCATCATTATTATTTTTAAGCCTGCTTAGAAGGGAGAGGTCAAATAGTGAGGTACTCAAAGGAGTGGATAGGGCCTTGAAACCAGACAGACCCAGACAGGGACTTCAACCCTGGCTCTGACTGGCTCAGTGAAGTGAGATCAAGCCTCTCTGAGCCTTGTATGGTTAAGCCAGGGATAACATCACCTGTTTTAACATTTGGTTATGAGAGCAAGACAACATTCATGGATGCTATGCCAGGCATCTGGCATGGTGTCAGTAAATGGTTGCTCCTTCCTCCTGCCCAGCTAACTATGGCTAACTATCACAGTGGCCACATGAAAACAGTCAAAATTTGCCCTTTTCTGCAAGCATTTGGTGTCACTTGTTTTTCTACTCGATAGAGGATAAAGCTAGGGGCACTGAAGTGAACTGGTACCCAACATCTTTCAGTAAGTCCAGAACCCTGTAATCTTAACATTGTCAAAATAGTGAGAACATTTTCATGAGTTACAATAAAAATGCGATTGCCTTCCCAGCATACATTCCGTCCCTTCATTCTTATAATTTGTTGTTTCTCTTATGTGATAGGAAAAGAACAATTTGTATGATAAGAAAATATAGATTCAGGGATCCAGAATAGAGCCAGCGAGACTTCTTTGTCTCTTTCTGGTTTCAACCAGTTTCAGTATTTATTCATTTCAGAGAGAGATGGGCTTTGTGGTTCTTTTGGCTTAAATGACTTACTCCACACCAAGTAGCATGGCATAGCTTAGAATAAACAGAAGTTATTTTGAGTGTTCTCCAAGAGTGATTTCTAATCCATGGATGTCTTGGAGGAAAACCAGTCTAAGCAAAAGCTATGAAAGCAAAATAAGCAGAGCTCTATATTTGTGGTACTAGGCCAACCTGTCTCTTGGAACCTCTGGTTATTCACTCATCTGTCAAATGAAGGACCAGGATGGAGAGACCTCAAAGATCCCTGACAGCTGGAAATTTTCTGATTTGTTTCACTGTCAAAGAAAAATAAGAGCTGATGACTTTTACCAATAAACACACAAAATAAATATTTTTAGTCACACTGGAGAAATAATCCAGGTGAGACTCAGAACTGCTTGTACTTCAACATGTCTTGGATGGGATTTATAACCAGCACTCTGCTGAGCCTACTCAACTGTCCATGGACTCTAGTGGGGCTTTCTTCCCAGGGTTAAATGTTGGAATTGGATTATAAATGACTCTTTCTTAACTTCACATCCAGGAAAACTCATTCATTTCCTACCCATCTACTCTGTGTCTATTTATGTGCATGGCTGTCTCTCTTAGCAGACCATAACGATGCTCTACAGAACTAAGCTGCTCCTATCCAGTCTTTGGAGTTCAATAGACCTGGCTTTGGGCTCTGAGTCTGCCATCTACTCTATGCCTAATAGGAAATTATTGGACCCCTCTGGGTGTGAATATTTTCATCCTTGAGTCCTGCGTGTGAATATTTTCCACCTAAGATTATTGGGATGATGAAATGAGATAATATGGCAATTACTTGCACACAAGCACATTGCAAGTGATCACAACACTGTGTCTCTTATTGTTATTTGTGTGGAACAGAGTTCAACAAATGCTTGTAAAACAAGCAAATGAGAAAACAGGTGAGACGTCTTCAGAACATTCCAATGAAACTCAGATTAAAATGATGAAGAAGGTATCATGATGATGGGACAGAGCACAGTTTCCTGAAAATGTATCTTAGATGGTTCCCAGGGTGGAAGGTACACCATTCTTTGAGAATGAACTCACCCCTGACCAGCCGTGGGGCAAGAATTGGCCCTCAGCCCAGTATTTCCCATTGATGAAGAAGAGGCCTGCGATCATGATAAACACCCACACTGCCAGGTTCAGCACGTTGAGGACGTTGTTGAAGCCCACAGAGTTTTTCACGCCCAGGGCCACAATGATGGTCACAATGACAGCGATCACCAGAGCCAGAAGATCTGGGTATGATTCTTCCCCTTTCCCTAGAGGAAGACATAATTAATATTGTCTAAAGGACCATGGGATTCCACTCTGGTGCACTGAGCTCAGTTCTGACTCTTAGAGTCAATCTGTCAGAAAGAATGGTGAAGGAGCTGTGTGTGTGTGAGTGTGTGTGTGTGTGTGTGTGTGTGTCCATGTCTGTGTATACATCTGTTGTGCCTGTGCATACACATGGGTATGCTATGGTTCATAAGCAAATATTAGTATCTATTTGCAAATAAAGTATTTGGGAAACAGATAAGTTAATGTAATATCATGGACCAAAAATTGAGATACATGAAGCAACAATTGCAAGGTATCTGTGGAAATACTGCACAGCACATGTGAAGTCAGGACTGTCTTGATGTTTGAGATACAGACATAGGTTTAACATTCTTTGAAAACTGTGTATCTTCATAATTGCTAACCTTATAGTCTATAAAATTTCTATTCCACTTCCACAGTCTTTCCTCTATTAGCAAGTTAAAAATGTATTCGAAAACCATTTTAGGAGTATTTTTTCTTCTTGTGTTTATAGTTTGGAGGTGCAGAGAGAAAATGCCCAGGACCTGTTGGTCTGTCTGCCCTCTGGCCAGTGGACTCCTGCCCTCTGCGGAGGGGAAGAGGCACTGCCGCGGCAGCCAAGGATCCTGATTTCAGCTGCACTTTTTTTTTTTTTCTGGTGTATGTGTGATCTGAATGGGTGGTTTTGACTATTATTTCTATATGACATCTTAGTTGAGGAATGCTAGTTTTAAGCTGTTTTTTTAAAAAAAGATTTTAGAATAATGAGATTTTAGCAATAAACTTCTAGCCTAAGAAAGAGAATGGTTTAAATCTAGCTAATTTATTTTTTATTTTTCATTTTCTTGCTAAGCTCTTTTTTTTTTTTTTTTTTAAATTTAACTTTTACGAAAAAGCTGTATTTTTTTTCCAACAGCCCGCAATGTGGCCTTGGGCATTTCATTGTTCTGGGCCTCGCCTTCAAAGCGAAGAAGATGGATGACTGATTTGAGGTCGTTTCAGAACTAAAATGATACAAAGTGAACACAGAGGCATGGTCTTCATACTTGTTATCACGGCATCGGGGTTGTTAGCATCTTTTAAAGATTTATTTTTATTATTTCATCTGTATGTCTGTGTGTGGGTCTGTGCACACGACTGCAGGTGCCCTTGAGGGTCAGAGCTTTGGAATCCCTGGAGTTGGAGTTACTAGAGCCTGTGAGCCACCTAATATGGGTTCTTGGAACTGAACTTGGGTCCTCTACAAGAGCAATATGTGCTCTTAATCACCGAGATAGCTAGCTCTCCAGCCTTACTCAGCATTTAAAAAATATTCTATTTATTATTATTATTATTATTGTTATTATTATTTGGTCTTTTTGAGACAAGGTTTCCCTGTAGCTCCAGCTAGCCTGGAACTCACTATGTAGAATGGACTGGCCTCCAATTCCCAGAGAACCACCTGCCTCTGCCTCCCAAGTGCTGGGATTAAAGGCATGCGCCACCACACCTGGCTCTATTTATTATTTTTATTTTATGTGTATAAGTGTATTGCCAGCATGTATGTAAGTGCACCTTGTGTTGTGCAATGCCCATGGAGGTCAGAAGAGGGCATTGGAGTCCCTGGAACTAGACTGCTTTTAGCTACCATGTGGGTGCTGGGAATTGAACCCAGGTCCTCTGCAAGAGCAGCCAGTGCTCTTAAATGCTGAGCCATCTCTCCAGTCCCTTCTCAGCATTCTTGACAAATATTTTCTGAGGTAAGGTCACTGAAGTAAAAAGATTGGGCACAGCCTCTTAGTCATTTCTTGGAAGGTTTGTGTGTCTGTGTGTGTGTGTGGTGTGTGTATGTGTGGTGTGTGTGTGGTGTGTGTGTGCATGGTGTGTATGTGTGGTGTGTGTGTTTGTGTTTGTGTGTGTGTGCATAGTGTGTGTGTGGTGTGTGCATGGTGTGTGTGCATGGTGTGTGTGTGTTTGTGTTTGTGCGTGGCGTGTGTGTGGTATGTATGTGTGTGGTGTGTGGTGTGTGCGTGTGTGTGTGTGTGTGTGTGTCCATACTGGGGGTTGAACTCAAGTGCACTACATAAGCATTTTACCACTGAGCTGTATTTCAGCTTTCGTCATTAGTTCTGAGGCAACACTCTAAAGCTTTTTCAACTACTTGTGTGCATTTGGTGAATATGAAAAACAGACCAGAACCCAGGAGGGAAAACTGGTGGTGTCAGATGGGGTCTGATGTCTCCTGGCATTTGTTAAGGGGCTCCAGCTCAGCTATTTTGCCTTGTTGACCTCTGGGATGCTCCCTAAAATTTTTGATTTGGAAATGAAATGAATACTTTTTTTGTAGAAAACAGGGAAATTTATAAAGCCACTGGAGAAGTTTCTTCCAGTTCTTTTCTTTCCTTTAATTTTACTTTTACATAGTTATTGGTGCACACACAGTATAGTCTCCATCCTTTGATATGTGACATCACATTGAATATTAACTAATATTCCATGCTGTGGTCTTCCCTAATCATCTTTTTAGTTGCCAGGTATATAACATGTACTCATAATTCACTTGACCATTTGTTCCACTGAATAATATTTACAGTTTCTAATAATTTATTATAGGTTGGACACCCTTACTATGAAAATCCAAAGTTTGACATGCTATAGACTCTGAAGCATTTTGAGTGCCAACATAATGCCACTAGTGGAAACACTCATACCATGAATCTTTTTTGGTGTATAAATATATAAAACAATGAATAACATTATTTTCAGCCTGTGTGTCTAAGAGGTATACAAAACATCAATAATTTTGTGTTACACCTGGGTGCCAATCCCAAGATATCTCACTATGTATAGGAAAATATTCCCAAGTTTGAAAAAACTCAAAGGTAAAAAACCTATTGATCTCAAGCATCTCATATAAGGAGTGTTCAAACTTTTAAAATAAGACTGTGATGAACATCTTTTTCTATAATATATTCATGAAAATTAGAAATAATTAGTATGAAGAATTGCTTTGCAAAAGCAAAACAGAAGTATTTAAAGCTCTTTACAGAATTCTCTCTCTCTCTCTCTCTCTCTCTCTCTCTCTCTCATGCACACATACATGTAGCAGACAGAGGACAACCTCAAGTTTTGGTCCTTGACTTCTATCTTGTTTGAGACAGGGTTTCTTGTTCTGTGCATAGGAATGCTGGGCTTAGATACTTGTGTTACCATAGCCAACTTTATGTGGGCTCTGGGGATCCAAACTTAGGTCCTCATGTTGCTCAGCAAGTGCTTTACCCACTGAACCATCTCCGTAGCCCCTAACTTGCATTCTTAAAGGGGAACCCATTGATTTGGTTCAGTGAGTTTGCATGCTAGGGAAGAGGATGCAGCAGTCTCACCCAGGCCGTTGAGGGTCCCCACTGCGTCCACCATCCAGTGGCTGATGGTATGGTTTGCCAGGGAGTCAAACATGCTGCTCAGAGCACTGGCACCAGCTGCAGTGCCAATGAGGTACTCCAGGATCAGGTTCCAGCCAATGAAAAATGCCACAAATTCCCCAACAGTGACATAGCTGTAGGTGTAGGCAGATCCTGTGGTCTTGGGGACTCGAACTCCAAACTCTGCATAGCACACACCTGCAAGGGACAAAGAAAACAGATGGTGGACTTCAGGAGATGAGTGATTGATGCCCAACAATCTTATTTTTTTAACTCTTTTTTAAATTTATTGCTTTTTGTATTTCTTCCAGCACATCCCAAACAATCTTATTCATCTTTATGCCCCCATTCCAAATGGCACCCTCCAATAGCCTCCCACCCCCACTAGAGCCCATATGCTCTGTCGTCCCTGTTACTGGCCACTGTGTTATCAGTGTCCCCAGCCGTTCCCCAGTGCTAGTCCATCTGCTGAATCTAGTCAGCCTATCTAGAGATCCTTGTTTTAGGAAGATCAGCTCTTCCTCATCTAGCAGCAATCAGTTGCCAACATTCCTTTAGATAAGATTGGGGTCTGATGTTCATTTTCCCAGTTCTATGCTGGGTTACTGTCTGGGAGTCTCTTGGGCCACCCTGGCCAACAACTCAAAAGAAGGTATCTCCTGTCTGGCATTGTTTCTTGTTATGTAGCCTTTAGCTATACACATAGACTCTTAAAGAAATATACTGATCACTTTGGCCTTTGGTTATACTCCCCCTTCGGGTGTTTAAGACCATACAGTTGGTCCAAATAAACCAATTTATTTTTACTCTTAAGGTCATTTGAGGATCTGTTCCTTGGGGGGTCACATGGGCTTGGGAGGAGCCCCTGGCTCCTTTCTTTTACCAGTTCCATCTATGTGAAGATAAATCAAAAGTCCTTCTTGACCATGGATGCCTAACAGTCTTGAGTGGAAGATATTGGGAATCATCAGGATCTTAGCATAAGATATTCAAAGGCTTAAGTAATGTGTCATTTAACAATGGAGATTAGTTCTGTGAAATGTGTTGTTGGGCAATTTCCTTGCTATGTGAATAATGCAATGTGTTTGGAAAAACCTAGATCATATAGCCTGCCACACGCCTACCTTACATGGCACGCATATACATACATCTAAATAAATATACATGATGTAGCCTATTACACCTAGGGCCATGATGACCTAAACATTGTGGGATTAAATCAAGCGCAAGAGAAAATTCTAGAATGAAGAGACACAGTGAATGTTAGCTATGTGAGGTTGCTGGTGTAACACAGCATACTACTTACAGTCAAGTTTTTAAAAGTAGTAGACTTTAAAATACCGACAAGCACTAGATAGGCTGAATGGGCTCCAGTGGATGAACTCACACCAAGAGACAGCTGGGTACACAACGTGACTTGATAGACCTTAACATGTAAGACAGAATGCATGAAATCCTGTGAGTGGGCTATGGGTGGGGTGAAGACAGGGGAGGTCTAAATATGATGAAATGTATTTTATGAAATCCACAAAAATTCAATAAAAATATACTTTGAAAAAATACTGATAAGCAGTATTGCACTGTAAATGCAAAGGCATTATCATTATTAAGTATTATGTTCTATAAGTAATCGGGCTATATGTTTATACTACCGGCAGAGTAGGGCTATACCAGTATCACCACAGACACGAGTTATTATGTTACATGACAGACATTACAAAGTTGTGACAGCTACAATGTCCTAGTCAACTGGAACTTTTCAGCTCCATGGAAACCTTATGGGAGTAAAGTTATGCATGTGTCAGGCATTGACTAAAACATTGTTACATGGCACAGGAGTGTATGTGAACCAATTCTAAAATGATTCTATCCATTTCCAAACTCACTTTCTAGAATCATAGCTTTTTTTTTTGTTGTTGTTTGTTTGGACTGTTTGTTTGAGACAGGGTCTCATTATGTAGTCTTCGACTGTGTAGGAGGTCTGTATCATGTGGTAACCCTCCTGTCACTACCTTCCAAGTGCTGAGATTATAGGTTTGCACCACAGTGTCTAGCTTCCAAAGCCTTTTTAAGCATCACATTTGGGAAAGCAATCAGAACTAATCCTACTGAAACAATGAAAACCCATCTTTCAGAACTGGAGAGATGGCTCAGTGGTTAAGAGCACTTGTTGATCTTGCAGAGGATCCAGGTTTGGTTCCCAGCACCCACATGATGGCTCACAATTGTCTGTTAATTCCAGTTACAGGGGATCTTATGCCCTCTTCTGGCCTCTGTAGATACTGCACATATGTGGTACACTTACATGAATGCAGGCAAAACACTCTTACACATAAAATAAAATACTAAAAAATGAATTAATTATTATTTAGAAAAATTCCCATTTGCTGCCTGTTTCTGTTGTGTTCCTTGTGGGTCAGATATCCGGAGTGAGTGGAAAATGGTTATATCGTACACCAGGTTAGGCCTTTTTCAGTTTTCACACATTATAGACGTTCTCATTTGAGAATGATGCCTTAAGAGAGCTGTGAAAATGCCATACTATAGGAAAGACAAAAATGCAAACACAGAGAAATAGTTATTCATAAAGAAAGCACAGAGCTCCAAAGGATGTTTATGTCACCCTTCCCCACCAAGGCTTAGGGAACATTGAGGAAGACGGGCAAGAAGATTCTAAGAGCCAGAAGTTGGGGAGGACCAGCACGAAACAGCATCTTCTGGACCTGAAAGGGCTGTTGCACTCATGAATTCATAGTACCTGTGCCTGTCTATACAAGATTTGAACAAGATCAAGCCAGTCAACATTCCATCATGGATGGGGTGAAGCTCACAAGGCCCCAACACTAGCTGAGATCTGTTGGCAGTTGATGGCTGCTGGAGGAGGGACAGTTAGTTTTCTGCAGGGATGTGGCCCCTCCTAGGTTGCCCATGCTCTGGTGGATAACCCTACCCCTGTGCAATAAGCAGTACTAATTGTACTCAGTGGGTT